CAAAACATTTAAAAAGTTTTCCCACAGTGTCACCAACACAGCATCATTCCAGATTATTGTGAGAAATGTTAAATGACAGCCACCGTGTCAGAATGGTCTTTCTGCCCATGCACTTGTCAGGAAGGACCAGACATTGGATCTTTTGCAGCTGGAACAGCAAAATCCATTTTCAGTTTAGTTGTTGCTCCTCCTGCCTCTGCTCTTGCTGCTGGGCCCTATTTCTAACAATGATTAGACATTAGAAGAGATCCTGTGCAAGCCTAGTACTGGATACCAAACCAAAAGAAAGAGTTGTAAAAAGTCATCTCTGCTGTTATGTGAATTATCCATTCTCATCTACAGCTTTTCCAAGCAAAGCCCAAGCATGGATTCATGCCTCTGCTTCTTTTCCCCAGAGCTAGAGTGGAGCAGGACAGAAAGAATAGCAACTCCCATAAACAGTATTAAAATCTGTTTTGTCATATCATAGTTTCTAAAGTGCTTGTACCCCACATGACATGGCCCCTCTTGGTTTGGTAAGCAAAAAGGAAATTCTCCTTCACTCTTCTCCCTGCTTTCTATCCTTTCAACCCAATACAGTGTTAAAGACCTCTTGAACCAGACTTTTTGCTTTTTCACATCTCTGTATCAAGGCATCCAGCTTTCTAGCCCCAGTAGCCTTGCTCTACCAAATTATCTAAGTACAGTTGTTTTTCCCTCTGTAAAATTGACTATCTAGTTGCTAAAATGGTAACTCCATTGTCTGATGGCATGGCCTGCTTAGTTCTAAGTGATCTCCTTAACTATTTCTCTTGTGCTGACTGATTCCTCAAAGACTTCCCCTTTCACAGTTGTTAATAACTGTTAGAAGACAAATAAATGCACCCCCAGTTCCAATTCTCTCTCCCCCACTGCAAAAATGCACTTTTTGAAAACGGCAGTTGTATTTTCCATATCTGCCATATGTGTTTTATGATCTGGAGCTGGAAACATCTTGAGGCAAGTGCTTGGCAAGGAAGTATTTAGTTACATTAGGTGAAGTCAAAATATTGTTATTTTTACATTCAATTTATGATATTAACTGGACTGTCATCTGAATTTCAATGACGGCTTAACCATAATTAAATGTCACACTTATGAAAAATGAATGTTAATGCCAACTTGTTTTTTTTTTTTATGCACGTGTATTTTGCATTGATTTTTATGTATGTTTTTGTGGGTGGGGAGGATATCACCAGATTAATCTAGTCTGTTGCTATTAATGTTCTCTTTATGTGTGCCGGCCCAGATGTCACACGAGGGTTGCAACATCTGCCTTATCAACTCTGGAATAGTGCTATAATGGATCACAAAAGAAAAAGAGCTCTTCACTTTGAACTTGAAAGCACGCCGAAGAAGTATAGTGAGGAAATAAATATGTTTCCTAACTGGGCTGGAGTCTGGATCACATTCTCTCTTGGATTCTCTTGAAGGGTAACCCACCTGATGCCGAGCAACTGGCATATGGAATGTTTTACAGATGGCCCAGCACCAGTGACTCATGTAGCTGTAGATGATTATCTGTCACACAGATGTTTCAACTTGTATTTTTCAGTTAGCTAGTCAGCAGCCAGCCATTCCTGGTGGTTCAGGAACAGATGTTCCAACCATCAGAATATCTTATCCATTCTGGAGATAAGTAGTCCGTTTCTTTGCCAACTTAGTCTTCTTCACTGATCTTGGAAGCAACCGGAGAATCTTTGGGTCTCTGAACAGAAGAATATTATTTAGACTTTTTCTATCATATCACTTCATTATTATCTATACACGAGTTATCTCTATCAATAATCCTTTCAAAAATACTGGCATTATGAAGGCATACTTCATTTAATAAAGCCTCTGGCAAAGAAACTCCTTTTTTTCAAAGTCCTTTCAAGGGAGTCTAGTACAACTACCTCCCTGCTTCTTGCATTCAGTCTAGCTGGACATTTGCAGCATTGGCATTGTAAAGATTAATAAGAAGGGATGAAGAAAGAAAAACTTGGGTTGGAGCAGTGTGTCTCCAGTAAATAATGCAAAAAAGCTCAACTGGGGAAAGAATAGGGTTCTACTGTAGGTGACCCTACTGTAGCTGTGTGTGCATACATACAACAGACAAGGTGAATAGTGGCTTCCAGAATCCATTACTGAACATGTGTAAAGAGGAAAGCAGAAAGAAAACGAGAAAGCAGATTTGGCCTGCCTCACTAGTTACCTTGGCATGTTTTAAAAGCTGTATGTTTCACCACCGGAATAGATATCATAAGAAAAGTGGAGACAGTTGAAAGAAAAAAAAGATGCATTTCAGAAGATGCTTTCAAGTAATCTAAAGAAAATTTAAAATGCTTTTGATTGAAGCAAGGTTTACTTGAATTGGTGGTTTGATTTCACCTATGTATAATACTACCAGTTTTGAATACAAAGTTTATTGAAACATGTTGAACCACTCTTCTTTTTTGTCGTGTAGGAACCTATCACTATCCTTTACATATTATTTCTACTTCTGAAACCCAAGTTTGTTAAAAACGTAAACCTAGGAAAATAATAGGCATGGGCAAGTTTGCTTGGAAATTGCAGATGTCAAAACTAAAGTCAGAAGTTTCACATGCATTAGCGAGTCAGAAGTCCCCTGTAGTACCAAAGTGACCCTGGCCATTGATTTCAATGGTTTGGAAGTTGATTCAGAAGTATGAGAAAGCCTTTTTGATTAAAGTGCTTGCCTCCCAGCCAATCAGGGCTTACGTTTTGTAAAGGGGAGGGCTTACCCAGCGTCTGGCAGCCATTGGTGCTTATAAACCCAAGCACATGGCTGGAAGGCTCGTTCAGCCAGGGAAGGGATGAGGATGGTTGGGATTTTATTTTATTTTATTGCTGCTACTGCTGCTGGGTGGGTGGAAGAGTATATTTGGATTTTGAGTGATTATTGTATCTTGGAAAGTAATACACACAATTGCTTGTCAGGACACCTTAATACTTTGTGTATCAGGTGAAATTGAACCCAAATCAGTGCTTTAGCTTATTGATTTTGGATAAATTTTACTTTATACTAAAATTTCATTCTATTCTAAATGGTATTGGTTAAAATATTTAGGCTGTAGTAATTATTCTTATGATCTTCCAAACTACTGGAGTTAAGCGTTCCATCAGTCAACCAGTGACAGCCAAGTTGTTGACATGGTGTGGTTTTACCAAAGCAATAAAAAGAAGAACCATTGGATCTAAAATAGTCACAGGGCAGAGTGAGGGCTGGGTGAAGATGCAATTTTATAATCTAAAATGTGATCTTTTGGAAAAGGCTAAGTAGCCTGGCCTGGCTCCCAAGAGGTGGATCTTACACCACATAATAACAACATCTCTAGCAAAGGAAACCTATGATGACAGTAGTTACAGTAATCGGATGGGAAAATGGAAGCCTGGCTTGGGATCCCCTCTCTATTGCTGGCTGCTGATGCCACGTTGTGACAGCAGCAATTACAATAAAAAATGGATGTGGTTTTGAGTCATTAGAGAAAAGTTGGAGAACAAGCAAGGCTACACCAAGCCAGTTTTTTCTGGATAAGGAAGGGCAGTATGTCTACATCCTTATTCCCAAAAATATTTATTTATTTATTTATTTATTTATTTATTTATTTCACATATTTGTATCCTGTCCTTCTCACCCCCAGAGGAGGACTTAGGGTGGCTTCACAATAGGCATTCATTCAATGCCAACAACAGTAATAAATAATATAAAAAAAACTAAAACAATTTGTTAATGCTTTAAAATTACTAAAACATTGCTTAAATCACACAGGTTTGAAATCATAGTCCAGGTCAGTCCATTGTCATTCACACAAATTGGGTCTCATTCTAAATTGCTGCCTCTATTGTTCAAATGCTTGGTCTCATAAATATGTCAGGGTATATACAATATAATAATCAAATTATTTGGAGTGTTGTCCTGGTAAAATTTCATACAGTGGCATGCAACATTTAAAGAAGGTGAGTCAACTTTGATTGGTCTGAGACCCAATTTCACTCTGCCACCAGGACCTATACCACACCATTAAAACTTAACAGAAAGTTGGGAAGAACCAGTAAAATAAGCATGATCTTTTTAAAGAAAGGCTTTTTAAAAAAAAGAAAAAAAAGGAAAGCTGTACAGTGGGATGGGGGGGGGGGGGTTCTCTGAAAATTCAAAGTCCCTTTCTAGAGCTAAATGCCACTCATTTCATTTAGAAGAACAACGAAGTATATGGAGATAATTCATTGGTAAGCAGACAAGGAAAGTTACATTTCATATTTGATATGTACAGTTTTCAATACTCTTAGTAGTTTGTGTAATAATCTTGAACTCCATTGTGACTTGATTAGTAGAGGAAGTTCTTCAATAGCTCTCTCTTTGGTCTCTAAATAGATTTTTGGCAGAGTGCAGCACCCAGCCTGCATGTGGCCACCCCAGGGCCCCATGGGGGGGGGAGTCAGGTGTTTTTCACATTTTTTTCCAAAATAACATCCATTTAGAGACCCCTGGGCACCCAGGGAATTTTTTAAAGCATTGTTTTTCAAAAATAAATTGTCCGAAAGTGTCCTCTAGAGAATGTGGAAGGCCTTTCCATCATGTTTTTTGGGGCAGAAAGGAAGGGACTTAAAAAAACTGCTTCTGCCTCACTTCCGGAGGTTGAAAAGGATCTCATGGACCTAAAATGATCCCAGAAAGCTTAAAAAACATGGTGACAATGTCCTGATGTCCAAATAATAGGTGTAGCCCTCCATCATCTTCAGATGGGCTAATGCATTCCCTAGATTTCCTGCAGTTTCCCACTCCTGCTCTAGTTAATAAAGCTGTAACTTCTGCCGCTTCTTATTCTTCTGCAACTTCTTAACTTATCTGAAGAAATATCAGTTGCAAATCCTGTCTAGGAACATTCTTCTGTATTTCAAAACAAAGCCAAGATCTATTTCATGTTTATTTTGACTTTCTGTATCTGCTCCATCAAAGTCACCAACTTTCTCTGTTTCAGATGCTTTCTAAATCTATTGAACAGTTAAAACAACCAGGCAGTTTAGAAGAAGCTGAAGAAGAACTTCATGGAGAACATTCTATGGTGGAAGAAAGAGCTCCGTCTGTTGCAAGCAGCACAAAGGATGACAGCAGTAATAGCTATTTGGACGACAGACTGGGACAGCCTTTGACGGCTGTGAAGGTGAAAGAAGAACCACAGGACAGTGATGAAGATATTCAAACTCAACAAATGGAATCTGGGGAGAAAGCAGCTTTTATTCAACAGGTAATAGGCAAAGATTTAGCTCCAGGCTTCGTAATTAAAGTGATTATCTGAGTACTGTCATGATAAGCATTTTTGAATCCTTAGTGAACAAAATGTTGTTTTTTCTTCCATTCGCAGAGTTCAAATGAATTGCGTGTTATTAGCATTCAGCGAATCTAACAACGGCAGATGTGTTCACACCTTACGCAATAGTGCGAAAGTGCTTGTTAAATCGAAGAACACTTGTTGCTGTGTAAGCCTTTGGGTTCTTAATAGAATTCCTATTAGCTCTAATGGATTCTACTTCATTAGTTCTAGTGAAATGGAACTCATTCTTGTATTATAAACTTATTATGGAGATCAGTTATTGCTGATTAGACCAGAAAATGGTTCTTTCTCCATTTCTCCAATGTCTTTAACATCTACCTATGTACACTTTTATCAATTTGTATATAATGTACCATACTGTAGTCCTAAACACTGTTAAAAAGAAGGGAGTTTTCCTCCTCCTTGTTAGGTACTGGCCCAAAAAGCAGTGATTTGAGATTTGTATATACAATATGCCCTGGAGGAAAACAAGGTGGAAGTCAGATGAAGACAGACATGGAATGCACTTTCAAATATGTTTTTCCCCTTTTATTACATCCTTTACTTTTGTGCCCCATCTTCTGTTATCACTCTCTGTATCTGTTTCATTTGAAGATATGTGTCATGTGCAACATTTTATGCCAGCTACATGCATGATATGCCTATATTTGTATCAGGATGGTGGTGGCAAGGAAGTAAATTACAAATATGAACTGTTCTTTCATCATTCACTTACTTGTGTTCAATAAAAACTAATGACATGACAACACACCATCTAGCACTTAGTTCAAACATTCACTGTGATGCCCATTTGTCAATGCTTCCAGTACTCATCTTGAAGCCAGGGTTTTCCAGAACAGTTTTCTCTCCTAATTAAGACAATAAGCCATTCATCCAAGAATAATGGAATAACCAAAGTCTAAATGTGCTTACCCAGAATCTTATGGAATCCAAATTTCACCATGTAATAGAATTGCAAATGTCAATGATTCTGTGTGCCATGACCAGGGGTACATCTTGGCCTAGTAGCTCTTATGACATTTGTTCCAGGGTATGTAAGATCAGAGGCTAGGTTGGAAAATAGTTTTCAACAATATTTCTATATTTACCAAGACATGCATGCAGTTGTATGTAGTTGTGCCTCTTAAAGGATTATAGCTCTTTTGAATCCTATAAAATCAAAACAATTCAGTATGCAGTACAGACTGCTGTTTACTTAAGCCAGTGCTGTGTCAGGTCCCTTGTGTTTTCTTGCAGAAAAGTAATTGTGTGAAGGTGGACAGGAAATGCCTTATGGAAACAGGAAGTCCAAGTGATTCATGCCCTTGGAATGTAAGAGGGGCAAAGGGAAACAGAGGATAGAGTTTTATTCTCTGTTTTCTAAAGGGTACTTGATGAATTGATTTATTGTCTAAGAAAATAACAAAGCAAGGAGGGAAATTGTTAAGGAAGCTTTCCAGTGAAACATTTCCTTTATATTCCCTTTTTATATGTTTACTTTGTTGTAGAGGTTTAATTTTGTTAACCTAAAAATTCTCTGTATTAAGACCCTTTAATATGGATAATCCAGAACTAACCTGCGATTCTTGTCAGGCTTTTTCATATTACAAGATTTATATTTCTAAGATACTTTAAGGTGCACTGTGCATTTCAACAGAGAAAACCATTTTGCCAAATGGAAATGTTTCCTTATAAGTATATGGTGTTTACATTTTTAATCTTCTTTTCTGGCATCTCTTAAAACATGTTATCATTTCTAAAGATATTTTATCCCTCTCTTCCACATCAAATATTTAATTTTAAAAAAACTCTAGCAGATCCTCCAATAGCAAATAAAGTTTGCCCCATCCTTAATAATCATGCCACACTTATATTCCTTTGATATAAGAAGACTCATGTACACACAAACCATCACGCATAACAGATATAAACACTAGGGCTGGGCGGTTTCGTTTGTTAATTTCATAATTCGTTATTAATTCGTATTTAAATTAGCTTACGATCCGATATTGAGCCATGCAGGAGCAATTAAAAATCGAAACAAATTTTTCAATTTATTTTGTAATTGTTTCGTAATTGTTTCGTAATTGTTTCGAAATTATTTCCGTATGTCTGGTGCAAGTTTTAGGGTTGTTGTTTGTTTTATCAGTGATAAATAATAAATTATCACACCAACAGTCAACAACAGAGGGAGAGGGAAGCTTCAGAAGTTCCCCCTGTCCCATTTGGAGGGGTTTTTTTTTCATATTGTGCAATCGTGTCCACCATTAACAAATCGATTTGTAATTGTTTCGTAATTGTTTCATAATTTACGAAATTTTGTATATTTCGAACTTTTTTAAAGAAAAAATTCGGAATTCTTTTAAAAAACGAAACGCAAAAAAACCCTAAAAACGAATCGAGTTTAGAAACAAATTTTTCCGTGGTTACCCAGCCCTAATAAACACTGACCAGGATATAATGACATAATTTTAAGGGTGCTTTCTCTAGAAGTATCCAGCTGCCTTCTCCAGAATCATTGATGCCCCCTCCTATCTGCAGCCTACCATACAATCTAAACACATACTTTGCAGGAGAAGGAAAGCTTTTAGAGAAAATTCTTGTTGCCACAATGGAGTGCAACAAGGAGAAGGAGAGGGAAAGTCCTGATACAACTTGCACTGCATGTAGAAGTAGATATTGAATGCCCATACCTATGTTCTGACAACTGTGGCTCATTGCACCTTTTCAGAATTCATCTGCACAGCAAAACAGACACGTGGAAGTCCTCATGTAGTGGTATACACATGCACTTCTTCCATCCTCACAGAAGGCACATCAGGATATGAATGTTAATATATGAAGTAATCCCAAGTTTTAGGTCAGCATTCTTCAAGCCTAGTGCTGCCCAAGTGTTTTTGATAACAGTTGTCACAATCTCAGTGGATCAGATCAATAATAAGGGGTTGCAGAAACCATGGGTCAGCAATAGGAAATGTTTGGCCAGTGCACTCCATGTTGTCTCTAGGCCCATTTTTAATATACAGCTTTTTGCCCTGTAATATTCTAATCTCCACCTCCATCCTACGCACCATTTTCCAGCCCTGTTGTAGTCCAACTCATCTGGAGGACATCAAAGCTGGCCAAAGCAAATTTGGATATTATTGAACCAGAATATTTTTGAGTCATCCAGAGGGGTAGCTGTGGAAATAGGGAACACTCACTCTGTTTTTCCTAGACTATAAACTCCTACCCATCAGTTTTCAAAAGTTGCATAGCTGGCATTCCTCAAATCTATGTGACTGGGTGTTCTGTTGCCATTCCCTCTCCAACAACCAACAAACAAAGAACAGAATTACATTTTCAACTGAAATCACTTAAAATGAAGATGGATAGATGCTGAGAGTGAAGATTTAGGGTTTGATGTAACTGCAAAGGTTATTCTTCCTTTCTCAAGAAATGTAGGTATTTACAACCAGGAAACAGATACAACAGGGAAAGTGCATTTTGCATCTTACACTTTTCCCACCATACAGTCTGATTTTAACCTACTCTAAAAAGATGGGTTACTTCTTTTAAAGTACATTTAATTGAGGGCAGGAATCTGAATTCAAGACAAGTTTTGTATGATAAGGTTTCAACATTCTGTAACCATAAAGATATTTTTATAATGAAGTTGAGGAGAGTTACCCCGGTATAGCCAGTAGACTTACATGCCATCCAAAAAAATTTTTTAAGAAGTTACCTGGAACCAGCGGAAAGGAAAACTGGGTATAAACAACCATATTTCTTATTGTCACATTTTAAATCTACTGTATTTATTATATTTTACACCTTTGGTGAACTCTTGTTTTGTGTTGTAAATATATTGTTTGTATGTTCCCTATTTTGCCTTCTGATACAAGTCTATATATTCTTTTCTCAAATAAAGTTTTTTCTCAAAAGATTCCCTTTCACATGGCTTTGTGTAAAGTCAATAATCTAAGTCAGTTCTTTCTCCTTCATATATGCAAATATGTTTGCTCATTAATGTTCAAGCAACAAATGTAGGATAATTACCCCTTTCTAAACCACACAGTCTATTTTTGGTGTGTTACTTGAGCCTACTTCAAAAAAATATTCTTTGAACAAAAATAGAAAGGTTATCTGTGCTTGTTCATTTTTTCCTCATTACCCTTTTCCAAACATGTGAATCAACTTTTGTGTCACTTTGAAACTGTGATGCAAACAAATGCTTGTTTTCTTTAGATTTCTAGTTATGCAAAATTTTAGTAACAGAATGTTATTTGGCTCCAAAGGTTTCCAACATTTAGCATGGAAGCAATTTGTTTCCATATGAAAGCCTATAAAAGGTTTGGGATAATACTGTGGATTGTAGACGTGTGATACTTATGAATAAAAAGTGACAGCACTAAAATGTTACAGGTAATTCTAAGTAGGGTGGCATGAGGGATCCAGTTTCACTCCAAAGGTCAATAGGCTTGTCTCAAGATTGCACTATCCACAGGAAAGATGTGATTTGTTTTCCAGGATCCACATGTTGATGGACAGATGGAGATGTATCTAAACAAATGTGCACACTTGAAAAATGTAGACAGAAAAACATGCATACTTTGACAACACCCATCAGGCAATGGGGAAATGCAACCAAACAATATGTACTATTCAAAACATGCACATTTGGGAGGAAAAAAGAAGCAAAGAAAAAGACAGATCTCAATAGGTTGAAGGTTAAAGAAAAACACATTGAAAAGAACTTGTTAATGATGTCTTTACAGCATCAGAAGATGTATTTACTTGAGCTTCTTTCTAAAAAGATGTATGATCTAGACCAGAGCTTGTTAAACTTTTCCACTTGTGACCCATTTTGCCCTGATAATTTTTTTTACTTGACCCCATGTATATAAGTATATGAAATAGATATGAAAATCAAACATTTATTGATAATGAATTGG